CCGGTGTCTACGTTGGTCTCTGGCTCCTCCTCATCCTCTTCCAGGAGGAGATGGGACAGAGAGCGGGTGATGGAGGGGCGCAGGGGGGAGTCGGGGTGATGGGTGATGGAGGGGCGCAGGGGGGAGACGGGGTGATGGGTGATGGAGGGGCGCAGGGGGGAGTTGGGATGATGGCTCTCTAGGCGCGTGTGTGTGTCCGGTCCCCGGTCATGGGTGTGTGGCTCAGGTGGGGGGGTTTTGGACCAGGGCCTGGTGGTGTCCCTGGGGGGGTGTCCCTTGGGGGAGGTGTCCCTGGGGGGGGTTGTCTACCGGGGCCTCTAGGTCCGTATTATGATACCTGAAAAAATACAATTAAAATAATGAAAACTGAAAAAAGTCTAATAATTTTTAGAAAATAACGCAAACCTATTCGATTTTTGTCAAACAAACAGTAAATCTTCAACCTTTCGTTTTATATACGTATGTTTAACCTCTCACCAAAACATGACTAACATAACACTTTTCTCTTTTGTTAATGTTCTTGTGTTTTGTTTGTTATTGTTGCTGATTCATTAGGTGATGTAAGTGAACGGTCAAACTCGGAGATTGGTTCTACATAAATGGTCTTTGTAACAATTTAATTATATAATAAACGCACACTTATGTACGTAAGTTTCTTATGTGTAATGAGCATGGTGTGATGACATTGTGTGCTGTATCGACGTCTAACTTCGATATATTATCTATTCGTCTAAAAGCAAAATGGCTCACCCTTACGAAATAAACTGAAAAAACTACGTGTAGCAAAACTAAAAAACATAACTTATTTAATACCGATGATCTGTCAAATCCTGTATGAAAGTTACGAGTTATGAAAAAGGAAAAATGTGTGAAAACTAACTTAAATTTATTTTGGAATGTGATTCAATTTTTTTAAAATCTGTTACTTTATCGTAAAACTTAATGGTACACTCGGATCCAAAGCTTTATCGGTTGCAAAAGAGTCCGACGGGAGAAAACCACAAGGGTCCGTCCGGGAGTACTGGCGCGTCACTGGGGGCGGGCCTCTTCCGAAATACCTCCCCCCCATCGTCTCTCGGTCCCCAGTCCCTCGACGACGTCGGGTGGGGAGGTCCGTCGAGGACATGAGGAGGGTCGCGGTCGTCGGGACGTGTGGTGGGGGCGTAGGGTGGGACTGACGGGGGACGCGGGGAGTGGTGGTAGGTGGGGCTTACGAGGACGCGGGGGGGAGGGTGGGTAGTGGGGCTGGAGGGGGGGACGCGGGGAGGTGGTGGGTAGTAGGGTTGAGGGGGGGACGCCGGGAGGTGGTGGGTAGTAGGGTTGAGGACGCG